TCTCTCTCTCTCCCTCTCCCTCTGGCCGTTTTCCTCCGGTATTTTTGCAAAGTCCAGATGCATGCACATCTGCCTACAGTCCACTAAGCCTTAGCGCAGGTAGGGCGTACGGTCCCCTAGCGCCCAGCACTATTGGGGCGTACGGTCCCCTAGCGCCCAGCACTATTGGGGCGTACGGTCCCCTAGCGCCCAGCACTATTGGGGCGTACGGTCCCCTAACAATAGCCTTTTTTTAAAGTATCTTGAATTTATATAAGATACTATGGGGCCAACTAGTCACCGCACAGCGCATGTTATAGTAATACTGTGTGTGTTGTGTGAGTATAGAGGAGTGTGTTGTGTGAGCTCATTACTACGGAGAGTAACGCGCACCCGTCACTGACGCTTTTTATTTCTGCTTTCAAGAGTTACTAGTAAGGCTAAGGCTACATAACTAAGCCTACTGTCATAATCCACATATTGTTGGAGTCAAGGCTCAATAAAAGTGCTCAGCACAGACAGTACTGTGTTCATATTTATGTTTTGCTAAATTGGGTTGGACTACAGCACTACACTACAGAGTGTAACAGAGGTCTATTGTGAGGTTATGTTGAACTCAACAGAAATAATTTAATTCTTTTTAAAATAGAGAATCATAAATATTATAAATCGTTTGTACAGCCCACTAAAGTATAACCTCATATACATAAGAGTCACTGAAGTGAAGAATAGGCCAGCTAGGCCTACATAACATTAATAATATTAATAATAAATCATCCTTTGGCCGTCGTCTTCGTCGTAGAAACATATGCTGGCTTGAGATAACTAAAGACAGAGCGGAGCTTGCATTCCTCAGACAAACCGTTTGTTTGTACCTGTTCAACTAAGTGGTGGCAATAAATTATAAAGATCTACGCCATGAATGCATCTTCAACCTTCCCATGCCATAAAGCAAACTAGACTGTGCTCCTGTCTGTTCCAACGAACTACACGGAAGACTTCGTTCGCTGCTAGTCGGCCATCTTTGTAAACAATCTAAGGCATTTATATAAAAATCTTGTCGGGGTAAAAGACAACGAAACAATGTTTTTATTACGTAGGGTTCCAACCTCAGTAAAAAGTCCACTTTGTTCACTTCATATGACATATCATTTTGATTTGTTTTCATTTCTACTCTTTAAAAAAAAGTATTTAAACTGTTAAATAATAATATTCCCTTTTCTATAGCATTCACTTCACCGTTCTTGGAAAAGTATGTAGATTCTAGATTCTAAACCTTACGGAAGTCAAAGCAACAACACACGGAAAGATCGAAATGTTTTTAACTGCCAGTACATTATGCCAAAGCATTCACAGTAAAGGAAAAGGCCAAGGAGATTAAAAGTTCTTAGCTCCTTGGAAAGGCTAAGAAAGATTGTTTACAACACGATCTTTGGTTAGAGTCTTTCTGTTGGG